TATAAATGTGAGCTATCAATTGTAGTTATAATAAAAAGTAATAACATTATTTCAGAGTTACGAAAAGATACTCTAATAGCCTACCAAAGAAAACGATATACATCATCAGGTCAACACTCTGTCACTTCTAACGAAAGGCCCAAACTTTGCTTTAAGAAGAAACTAACAGATAACATGCGTCTAGAAATTTCAGCATCACCCGAAAAAGCCATATACAGTGTCTACTAGAACCAATATCGCGAAACTAAAGAAATAATAAAAATCTTTAAACACTCCATACAAAATGCATAGAAGACATAAGTTAAACTTCTGAAGATACTCTGAATAGCATTAGTCCATCCACTTCTAACTAAGAACCGATAGAAGTCATTAGAAAGATAACCAAAATTACCTATCAACCAGCAATTATCATTTGACTTAAAGAAATATCAACCGTCAAAAAAATCAACACCCATAGGGCACAAAAAATACAAATACCAAAATAGAAGAACCTCTTCAAAATACATCTACCTATGTAATTTTAACCAAAAATCCAACCAATATTGTCGAAGAAGAAGTCAAAAAGATACTCAAACATCTAAAAAAAAAGAAATTATTTTTCCGGAAAAGAATACAGAATTAAAACCTTCCCAATGGTCATATAACTGAACTATATGGAGTACCTAAGTACCATAAACAGGGTATGACTGCAAAAGAAACAACACTGTGTTTACTGGGTCATCTGGTTTAAAATATGTAGTATCACATTTAAACAATACAAAAGAGCTTTTAGAAAACATACACTCTTCAAGAACAATAATATGTAAGGACTCCATTTTATTTATCTTAGACGTAATCGCCTTGTACTCATACATACCTATAGAAGAAGGCATTAACTTTTCAGAGGAAATAATCTTAGAAACCAGCAGCACAACAAGGCTGAATTTTGGTTTATTCAACAGCTATTTTATATTTGTAAACACTTTGTACAATTAAAAAAAAAGGAGTGGCAATGGATAACAAAGCAGCAGTCACATTTTCAGTGACATTCATCCATACTCTAGAAACAAAAATCATTGACATAAGTCAAATGACAATAGGTTTAATTCTAGAGTGTGGTACAGATAAATCGATGACATATTTGGTATATGGAATCATGGAAAGCGGATGCACTACAACAGTTTTATCACTTCGTAAACAATTACACCATCAATTAAGTTCACACTGCAACTACTTAACCTAGAAAGAAACTTAGCCTTCTTAGTCGTAACCCTAAAAGCTCAAGTCCTACAAATACAGAATTCTATGTATAACAAAGATGTAAGAACCTGATGTTTGTCCATTATACATCATACCAAACAGACCAAGTCAAAAGAGGAACAGTAATTGGAGAAATATAAAGAATAAATCGAAACTGCTCCACACTTATTGTCATTCAAACAACACAAATGACATTAAAACATTACTATTAGAAAACGTATATCCCAATAATTACATCGATAATATCTTCAAATCACGAGAAAACAAAAACAACACGAGAGAAACAGACCTGAAAACAACAACAAAAAAGACATCCAAAATTATCCCTACAATGAACATTCCTTTTGTAAACAACATAAACACAATCAACATTTGTAAAACCATTAACGAATCCTAACATAACACAACAAACAGGTAAAACACTGAAAGAATTATTAGTGTACTCTTCATAACCACAAACAAAGTATGACAAAAATACATGTTACACGAGAGGAAACGGAGGACAGAATAAATCCACACCAAAAACGTAGTATGTTAAATCATATGTAATATTTGTGGAGACACATATATACGAGAGACCAAATGGCTTTTACACACACGCATCTCGGAACATATTAATGTGTTATATTATAAATATGAACAACACAAACCGTTCTAGCAAAACACTTCCTACATAAATACGGAATCTCAAACACAGACAATTAAAATCCATTTACAGTTTCTATCTTACAAAATACCAAATATTTTTAAAAAAGAAACTGTATGGAAGCTATTTACTCATTAATGAAAACAAATCCAAAAATAAACAGAAACAGGGGATGGTAGATGTAACTAAACCCTCATTCGAACACACACACAGACATATCGTACCAATTAACCTTAATATTATAGCCAGTAGATCAATACTTGCGCAAGCTAGCGTATCAAACAGTCTTACAACCATTTTTCAGTACTATGTTTCTTCATCTCATCCTATATATTTGCAATTTCATTAACAAAGTACGTATGTGCAGTTCCTTTTATATATATATATATTTATTTATTTAACGCTGACAGTGAAATGTGGATTCTTTAGACACAAAGTTGTGTTTCTTACCGCCTCAGTTTTTGGTTTGTTTGTTTATTTTGTGGTAAAGCATAAAACAATTTCAAACTGTCTTTAGTTATATTTTCTAAATAAGTAATGCATGTGAAATGTTAATTCTTGATTGGGTGTTGTTCCGCAAGAAGTGAGAAGAAAAACTTGGACAAGTGATAATAAAGAATAAATTGACACGTCCAAATGAAACTTCTAGTATATTTTGTGCGACGTTTCGAGCAGACGCCCTTCATCAGGCATTAAATACCGTGTTACAATGAAAATGTTTTCATTTAGATGTGTCAGTTTATTCCTTTTTATCATTTATCCATATCAAATGTTAGTATAGTATTATAGTTAGTATCATAAATACACTATAATATTAGATCAAATGTGTAACAACAATTTAAATACCGTGTTACAATGAAAATGTTTTCATTTAGATGTGTCAGTTTATTCTTTTTTATCATTTATCCATATCAAATGTTAGTATAGTATTATAGTTAGTATCATAAGTACACTATAATATTAGATCAAATGTGTAATAACAATAATATTCTGAACATTTTTAAAAGCACGTTACGAGAGACTCAGGAAACAGAACATCAAAAGTCTACATATATTTTCATATCGATCAGTTTTGTACTAGCGCCGAAGAAAGTTGCAATGGCGCAACGAAGGTTGAAATAAAAAACTTTTTTTTTCTTTTTAATTACCTGGAGAGTGAAGGTAGACTTTCTCTAACTTTATTGTCAAAATAGTAAAACTAAATTACTGTAAACTGTCTTATTTATTTAGACTCTTGAAATTAAAGATTACATTATTTTGTAAAAGTAGTATTTTATAGTCTCTAGCAACTCTGTAACTTAATACAGCCTAGATAGCAGTAATAAAAACGCGAAGTGTAATTTTACATGTAATTGTATCTAAGTGGTTTTTATTCTTCAGTCTCACATATCAGATGTACAATGCTCATTTTGAAACAAATTGTAATTCCATGTATTAGCTGAAGATACCTGAAAATACATGTAAGGTCACCCATGCAGACAATTGTATATAATCAATCGATCATGAAGTAATAAACTAGACAAAAACTCGGCGCATCATTTCAAAACCAGTTTATATAGCTGAAAAAAAAAGTGATAAATTTCAACAATATATAAAATACAACACTTTACTAATGAAGTGAAAGTTACAACATAATATCAACTCTCTACTTTATGTTACTGGTAAGTTTGTTTGTTTTTAATTATGCACAAAGCTACACAAGGACTATCTGTGCTCTGCCCACCACGGGTATCGAAACCCGGTTTCTAGTGTTGTAAGTCCGCAGACATACCGCTGAGCCACTGGGGGGCTTTTTATTGGTAAGAAGCTAGAGCCAAATCTGAACATTTACTTACGATAGCTAACACACGAATCTATACGTTTTGTCACATGGTTAGATTTTAAGGTTTTGTAAACAGTAAAAGAGCCATGGAAATTTAAATTGGAGTAAAATGTTGTGTTTAGGTCTGCTTTTATATTATTTTTGAACTCACATTGGGATGATCTTTTGAAAGTCAACGTGGTATATTTTAAGTAGTTTGTGTTATCATCAGTAGAAGGCTCACTTTCTAGTTTTGGTTTTTATTATTTCAAAAGTAATTGGTTATACGTATGTTTTGTTTAAGTCAAAGTTTATTATCATTACAATTTTAATTATTATATTATTGATTGTGAACAGGGTAAAGTTAAACTCAAATATTCACATACACAAAAAAAAAACTTTTCTGTCACTGCTTACAAACCATAGCTAACCCAGACTTCATAACAAAACCACTTATAATTTTGTGTACAAAAATAAACACGTTAAGAATGCTTTTTTTTTAAACTAAACTTTTAGAACTGACAAAATTAAATGTCAAAATAATACATTACGAATTGGAATCATTGAAGAAAATGTTGTCTGTCAAGGTAAATATAAAATATTCACAAAAACTATACTCAAGAACCATAAAGGACAAGTTAAACTCAGAGTAAACACGTGAGCAAAGTCATCACAGTTGAAAAGGAGAGATGTTGTATATATATATTATATGATACATACTAAAAAAGTGCTATTAAATGAGTTTTTAATTAATGAAAATGTAGCTTATAAGCCACAGCTAACCAAGACTTCATAGCAAAACCACTTATAATTTGGTTTTGCAACTTTACTCCAGTTATTTAAAACCTTTAAAGTTACCTTTTAATTCAATAATATTATCTTATTGCATGTTACACAGATAGCGATGTAGCTGGCTTAAAAGTACGTGTAGTATGTTGAAACTGCTTTGATTTTTATTCACTGTTATCTACTTCAAATAAACAATACTGTGAGCCTCACAGGTAGAATTACTGCAAATATCTAGAGTATATACTTTCCAAATATTAATTTAGTATGTAGGCCTAGTGGTATTTAGTGATAAAGTGAAATTCACACACTATTAATCTGTATTTGTATGCGAAAACTTCTATCACAAGTATATTTTCATTTCATTACTTAAAATATTTGCTTAAAATAAAATTCAATTTTACTTTGTAAAAAAAATGCCCTGAACCCACCCCCTACTCTGTAGTGCTGGCTGTGCCACTGAGATTATGATACACTTGTTAACATTTCTGTTTTCAGTAATTGTAAAAAGACGCGAAGTTTCTTAAATTCACCTATAGATGGCAGGGCTAATTCAGTCTTACTCCATTTCACTCCTCCATCTATTCATCCCATTGGCCACTGAACATTAAATCCAACGTTAAGCTTGGTGCTATATCCAATCGCCTTTTAGACACTTTTTTTGTGGGTGGAATAACTATGGGTACACAGGTAGCTTTAAAATTTCTGTTATATGTTGCTATGAGCTTTCAAACTGACTGGATTTTAGCCGTGATTATTCACACAAGTAGAAAATTAGGAAGCTGCCTAAAAGTACTGTATTAATCTGATGATACTATCCAGATTAATTTAGTTTGTAAAAGTAAAGTATAAGAAGTTTTTATACCTTCTTTTTTATCAATCCAGTAATTAGTATAATTTTTATATTACTACTTTATAGTAAATTACTGTAAAGTGTAAAATTTGTCGAAAGGTTAATAGATTGATAAAAAAAAATATTTTTAGTAAAATCGTTTGTTGTTTGAGAACCATAAACTAATGGTTCAGGAGTCCGGAATGAATATGACAAAAGTTAAAGGTAAGAGTTTTTTCAGAGTAGCTTGTTTGCTAACTTGATCCAGTGAAAATGTGTGAATGATTGAAATTAATGCACTGGGGCGGACTTAGAGGGGACGTGATTGAGGTGTTTAAGATTGTAAGAGTTGATGCATCATCTTTTTTCATACCTAACGGTGAAAATAGTAGGGCTAGGAGACACAGATATAAATTTTGGCAATGTAGGAGTCTAGTTCAATGTATGCACAATATGTAATGTGTAAAATTGTTGCGAGTTTCATATTGTAAAGGAAAATTAATATAGTTTTTTTGTTACACTTTCAATTGTTGTAAATTTCATTTATTTGTTACATGAAAACAAAATTTAAAAGGACAGAATTCTAAGTATTTATAAAGTGGCATTAATTCAATTAGTAGATTTTTCAATAATTTTTAGGCAGGAAGAATTCTTTATCTTCATCCAGTTTCGTATGGCTCTAGCAATTGTAAAAATTGTGTCTAGCTTTCATACTGGCCTAGTTTTGATCTTAAGAAACTTTTAGTTTCTTTTGAAGGTGATCAGAATGTATTTATCTGTTATATATATTATGAAAATCTCAGAATCATTTTATTAATTGTGTTACTAAGCTTTGCCCAATGTCAGGGCAATAGACAAGTTTTCACTTTGGAGGTGCTTTTCTTTAAATTGTTGTTGTTGTTTTGAGGGGAAAGGCATTACTATGGATACAGTGACAGCTACAAAATCTCTGTTAAGCATTGTTTTGAGCTTTGAAATTAGTTGGATATTAGCTGTGTTTATTCACAGTAGCTTCTTAAATATACTGTAAGGATCTGATTATGCTCTTAAATTCATAGTTTTCAAAAAGGTTTGTATAAGACACTTTTCTTTAATCTAACTTTCTGTATAATTGTATGCTACTATTAAGCCTTAAAGAGTGACGTATGTTTAGAATATTGGTGCCCCTCATCGTATGTCCATAACTTAGTTTATGTTAAAATGTAAACTAATGTAAAATTACTGCCAATTTCATATTGTAAAACTTTTATGTAGGTGTCATGTGGGTGGGTAACTGATTCAGATAAGTTATCAGATTTTATGTAGGTGGTCTGTGAAAGGCAATTTTGTGGATTTTTTTAATTGTTTGATATTTATAGATATTGAAGAAAAGCAGATTTTGTTCTGCTGACGAGAACTCACTTGTAATTGGTTTGCTTTTTTTTTTTTAGTTAGAATATTTGAAATTTGTTTAGTCTAATTAAAGTCATTGTACATTTTAAAAAAGTATATCTACACTCATGGACTCTAAAATAGTGCAGTTATGTTAAAATTTTTCTTTATGATAAACAGATTATTGTGTAATTGTGGTGAGTCCATCAACAAATTGCATTTTAAATAAAAATTCTCCTTCAATATTCATCTCTAGCCATAAGTATTTTGTTTTGAACTTTCATTATTTGCTTTTACTTTTGTCTGATTCCAGAATCCTTGGAAACAATGGAACAAGAACTTCATCAAGAAGAATTAGGTTCCAGGAATGTTCGCCTTAGTTTCGGCATGTCATGTGTTGTCCAAAAGGTATGTTGTTTGGAAGTTTTGGAAATGGTTTAAAAGGACACTATTACAATGTGGGTATGTTTAAAGAAATATCATGTTATTTATTCCATGTCGTTTGTTCATTATATTGAACAGTTCAGAAAATAGTTTGGATGTCAATTGCTTTTATTAATTTTCAAACGGGTCTCATGCGAATGAGATTTATATCTGTAGTAGAAATAATAGTAAACATTTTTATTTTGTAATGCATTCAAAAATAATGACCAAGAACCAGATTTACTATGATTTAACATGAGGGGGATAGCTAGCGACTCCAGTGGCTCAGCAGTAAGTCTTAAGGCTTATAAGGCTAAAAACCAGGTATCGATAGGCACAACACAGATAGTTCATATATAATTTAAATAAGTATAAATAGGAATAAATTTCTAATTCTTAAAAATTTTATGCAAGATTATTTGAAATCAAATTTGTCTCAGTCATTGATGTTTATATAAATATCTATTCTACAAAATTATTTTAAAAATGGAGGCTGAAAGTCCCATATCTAACTACATCCATGTTTAAAATGTAGTGTAACAACATAGATGTTGGCACCTAAATTACTGTATATTTGTTGAAACCTTCAACTTCATTATTATTTAGGCTAGCTACATAGATTTTGATTTTGCTTTGAATGTAAAAATGAATTCAATCTAATCTTCTTGACTACACAAATTAACATTTTTTTTAATATATATATATATATATATATATATATATA